TGTTTCGGAGCTTGTTTAAGTCTGTACAAGGATTTGATCAATTTGCACACCTTTTTCTCTTATCCAGGTGCTACAAAACCTTCGGGTTGTTCTATGTAAATCTCTTCTTCTAATTCACCATTCAAAAATGCCATTTTGACATCCATTTGATGAATCTCAAGATTGTGCAAAGCAGAAATAGAAAGAAGCACTCTAATTGACGCTATACGCGTCACAGGTGAATAGGTATCAAAGAAGTCATACCCTTCTTTTTGTTTAAAGCCTTTGACCACTAATCTTGCTTTTAACTTATTAATCGTTCCATCAGCTTTGTATTTTTTTTTTTTAGGATCCACTTGCATCCTAAAGATTTACAACCCACAGGGAGATCAACCAACTCCCAAGTATGATTTTGCATAATGGACTCGATTTCGCTATTTATAGCTTCTTCCCAGAGTGGTCCATCTGGGCTAGATAGAGCTTCCTTAATGGAACTCGGTTCATCGTCCAACATATACGTAATAAAATCAGGTCCAAACGTTTTTGCCGTTTCTACCCTTTTACCACGTCTCGGTTCTTCTTCTTTATCTTTAGTACCATCTAGTACAGAACTGCTAGCAGTTTCATACGTCCTTTTGTTAGAACTAGATTCTGCCCTTTCCTTCAAAGGAAAAATATTCTCGAAGAATATAGCATTCCTCGACTCAATAGTGGTACCGACCGATACCTCCGGATTTTCCGATTTATGAACCAGAAATCTATATGCAGTACTATTGTATGCCTATCCAATAAAAATACAATCGACCGTCTTAGGTCCGATTCTCATTTGTTTTGGTTCAGGAACTGAAACCTTAGCCAAACACCCCCACACTTTCAGGTACTTATAAGACGGCTTACGATTTTTTCACATTTCGTAAGGTGTCTCATTTTTCCCTTTAGGTGGTATTTTAATTAAAATATGATTTGCTGTTAAAACAGCTTCCCCCCACATATTCTGGGGTAATCTTGAATTTATCAACATGGCATTCATCATCTCTTTTAAAGTCCGGTTCTTGCGGTCAGCAACACCGTTCGGCTGTGGAGAATAGGGGGCCGTCGTTTGATGAATTATGCCATAATCAGAATATATTTGTTCAAAAGGAGCTACATACTCCCCACCCCTATCACTTCGGATTATTTTAATTTTTTTGCCGAGTTGATTTTCAACTTCGGTCTTATAATTTTTAAAAGCTTCCACAGCCTCATCTTTGCTTCTTAAAAGATATAAGTAGCAAAACCTTGTGCAATCATCAATAAAAGTTATAAAATATCTTTTAGCCGTTCTTGTTTGCACAAATTTCAAGTCACATACATCAGTATGGATTAATCCCAACGGTTCAGTATTTCTTTCCACCGAGTGAAAAGGTAATTTAGCCATTTTGGCTTCAACACAAATTTCACATTTTTTGTGTGATTCAATTTTAAATTAAGAATTAATTCTAAGTTCATCAACCGTTGCATTTAGATTCACATGTCCTAATCTAATATGCCATAAATCAGAACACTCCACGATATAAACAGAAGTACGATTTTCATTATCATTGGAAACGGTTACACGGCTCACAACCATTACATTCATTTTAAATAAACCATTGTCGAGATAGCCACGACCAAGGAATTTACCATACTTGCTAAGAATAAACTTCTTAGCTTCAAACACTAACTTAAAACCATGCTCTACAAGAAGAGATCCGGAGACCAAATTCTTGCGGATGTCTGGGACATGCAGCACATCCTTAAGATTTAACTCCTTTCCAGAAGTCAGCTTCAGCACCACGATGCCAACTCCAGCCACATCAGACGAGGAGGAGTTGCCCATGTGGAGCTTCCGACCATTTGAAGGGGTGTAGTCAGAAAACAACCCCTTGTCGGAACACACGTGGCGAGTGGCACCAGTATCAATGTACCACGCCCTTGGGTTATCCACCAAATTGGCTTCAAACACCACAACCAACATATCCATGTCGGTTAGTTCACTCGGCACAGGGCCGTGTTCAACAATGAGGGCACCATGTTGTGCCTTCTTCAGACCAGCCTTTTTAGTCTTCTTGCAGTCCTTAGCCATATGGTTCGGCTTCCCACACTTGTGGCAATTGCCGGTAAATTTCCACACTTTAGCAGGCTGCTGCTTGCCTTTGTTAAAGGGCTTCTTTTTGCTCGAGTTGCCTTGCTCCAGCAAGTTGGCACGAGCTTCCATCATCGGGGCCTTCCCCGAAGACTTCTGATTGTCCTCTTCAATCCGAAGACGAACAACCAGATCTTCAAGACTCATCTCCTTCCTCTTGTGCTTGAGGTAGTTCTTGAAGTCTTTCCAACCCGGCGGCAGTTTCTCGATCACAACCGCAACTTGGAATGACTCGCTCAGAGACATTCCTTCAGCATGAATGTCGTGCAAGATGAGTTGGAACTCTTGCACTTGAGACACGATGGTCTTAGTGTCGACCATCTTGAATTCCAGAAATTTGCCGACGACGAATTTCTTCGCCCCGGCATCCTCCGTTTTGTATTTCTTCTCCAAGGCAGCCCAAAGCTCCTTGGCAGAGCCAACCGAGCTATAAACATTGTACAACTCGTTACTCAGTCCGTTGAGGACGTAGTTCCAGCAAAGGTAATCACCTTGCCCCCAAGCATCGTATGCAGCTCGCAGCTCAGCATTCGATTCATTTTCAACCACGACAGGAGGGTCGTCTTTCAGATAATTCACCAAACCCAAAGTGGTCTGGTAGAAGTGCATCTTCTGTTGCCACCTCTTGAAATCAAGCCCGTTGAACATTAACAGCAGGTTGAGGATGATGAACAGCGGGGGTGACAGGTGGTTGAGTTTTTGATCCTTCTCTAGTGGATGCCATCAGTTCAGTAGGTGTCACTATTTGTCTTGCGATTGTTACACAAAGTGTGTTATGAATTACAACGGGAACCTATGAACTGACTGATGTGTTCAGTTCGTACAAGAAGAACGAAAACAAAATAAAAAATTACAACTTGAATGCGGACAGATTAGAGCCGAGGCGATTGAAATCTTTCCGCAAGACAAATACGCCTCGTATAGTGCTGACGGGTCTGTGCGTAATATCCCCAAAGATACAACGGCTAAACACTCGGAAGCTGTAGCACACCAGCCTTCAGAGTTCCGGCGAACGGGACTGAAGTCGAGAACTGAGCACTTTTGATATGATGCGTGAGGCTTTAAGAGTATTCAGATGCATGCAATGTTGTGTCCTTTTCACTTGCAGCTCTAAGTCCTATTTATAGTACTTCCACCTCTGAGGGAGAACCAAAAGTTACATCAGCCACTTAAGGCTGAGATAAATGGCACCATTAACCTGAAAACGTTTCAGGTATTACTACACCATTAACCAGACATTAACATCAGGTGTTACTACACCATTAACCAGCCATCAGGTGTTATATTTCACATGAAAGGTCATGTGTCCAGATTCATTGTACATGGAGAGGTCTCACTCGGGTTGGGTCAAAACCCGAGTCCAAGTCCAAAATGGATTTTCCAGTTGGGCCTAAAATTGCAAATAAAATTGCAGCAAAAAGATATATAGTGATTGGGCCCAAGCCCAACCGCCCAAGGCCGCCCAAGTCCAGCCCAAAGTCCAATTGCCAAGAACCAAGGACCAAGGACCAAGTCCCAGGCCCCGGCCCGGGCCCGGGCGGGCGCGCGCGCGCGCGTGTGGCCGAAAACAACACCAACACTTGGTGCATAGCTTTGTGCTTGTTGTAACCTCTCCAACTCTCTTTATTATAATAAAGAGAGTTAAACTCATTTAAGAGTCCAATGTGGGAGTGACTCTTGACCCTTTAAATCCCACAGCCAATGTTTTACGTGCCCTTTTATGGCTAACTTTAACAATTTATTTCTCACTCACCGAAAATCAGTTTTGAGAAAATAAATATACCACGAGTATCTACTCGGAACGTAAAATTTTTCTACAATATTTAATTCAACTCAAATTAAATATTTAGCCATAAAAAATTTAGTCAAAACCGGGTCAAACCCAAGTTTTATAACTGATTTTTCCAACATTGGAGAATTCCCGTCTCTGATGGATGGGCTTCTTCCAAATTTGGTCTTTGCCATTGTTGTTGAGAGGATATAGGGTTTGATTTACAGTTCGATGAAGACGACGGTACAGTAGTGGGAAAGAGAATGTAGTTTAAAGCTCATTACCTTTTTTATCGGGGTGCGTTTTCTTTAAACTTATTATCTTCCCATAAATTTTGGTAATAGTTTTGTGATTTGTTCGAAAAATCTGAATAATAACTTTTGTGGCATATCTGCAAATAAAAGGTAAAATTTGTTTGATATTGCTATTATTTATAGATTGATATTTATTGTGTAGTAAAAATTCTAATTGATAGTGTTTTGAGTAATTTTCTCAAGTTTATATGGAAAAGAAAATGGGCCAGACTTTAAGGACTAATCTTTAAAACCGAACTTGGGCCGAAATTAACACATTTAGGCTAGACATAAAATGGCAAAAGGCCTAAGAATAAATCGTTTAGGGCCGAAGATAAATATACGCGACAACACGAATTCCCGATTAACACGGTTGACAATGAATAAAATTATACGACCTATTATTTTAACTAGGCGATATCTAATTAAATCGAACGAAATAATTTAATATTATATTATTCGCAAACAATATAATGCTAGCTAAAATACTTATTCGAGCAACACTAATAAATAACAGGAATAATATCAATAACAATAATAATAATCCGAAAAAATTCATATAATGCCGCATGAATAATATAAATCACATAAATCCATGAAAAACCCACATATATTCACGAAAATTCGCATATTCGAACGGATGCTCCATATACATTCTTCTAATTATCCAATTCTAAATGCTTTTGGACGGGTACCACAGCATCCAAATGTGACGCAATTATTTTGATACTTGATGCATATGACATATCTATGCATATGCGGAGAGAGTTGAGGGTAAGCGAGAGATGTTGCTATGTTCAGCCATGCCCGTTTTCTCCTCCGTCCACCTTCTTCCACTCCAGCACGCTCCAGCACTCTCTCCTTCCTCTCCACTACCGCAAACTTGCTGCCACAATGCTGGCCAACGGCCGATATCCTCCCCCTCTGTGCCGCCGCGCCGTCTCTTTCCGCCGCGCAGCGGGCCCACGCACTTGCCGTCGTCCACGGCCACCTTCCCGCCAGCGTCTCCATCTCCGCCGCCCTCATCCTATCGTACGCCGACCACCTCGCCCATCCCTCCACCCTCCAAACTCTCTTCAACCAGACGGCCCCATTCTCTCGATCCCCTTTCCTCCACAACACCATCATCCGCGCCTGCACCGTACAATCGACCGGGCCCCACAGGGAATGGGCCTTTGGGTTTGGTTTTATGCCGTATAATGATTTGCTGAGGGATGCCTATCTGAGGCCTGATGATTACACCTTCCCTTTCGCTCTCAAGCTCTGCGCGGACTTTTCGTGTGTCTCGAAAGGCTTGGAAGTGCACGGGAGGCTGATCAAGGCTGGTTTTGACGAGGATGTGTTTGTGAACAATACTCTGATTCTTTTCTATGGAGCCTGTGGTGATTTAGTGGGTGCGCAGAAAGTTTTTGATGAAATGCCTGAAAGAGACTTGATATCGTGGAATACGTATATTCGGGTTTTTTCGGAAAACGAGTCTCGTCTTGAGTCCTTTAGTCTGTTCAAGGATATGATTTCGACATCCGGCCTTTCGCCTAATGTGGTCACAGTTGTGAGTGTCCTGCCAGTGTGTGCCAGGCTTGAGAATGATTGGTTGGTTAAGTTGATACACTGTTATGCAGTTAAGGTCGGCTTGGATAGGGAAATTAGAATTGGCAATGCATTGGTAGATGCTTATGGTAAGTGTAGCAATATTGAGGCTTTAGAAGTAGCATTCGGTGAGATGGCTGAGAAAAATGAGGTCACTTGGAATTCGATTATCGGTGGATTCTCGTACAGTGGCCTCAGTAGTAATGCATTGATTTATTTTAGGGCAATGATTGGCGCTCGCGTGAAATTGAGCACCATTACCATTGCCACCATGCTACCGACTTTGTCAGAACTAGATTTATTCAAGAACTGTAAAGAGCTTCATGGTCACTGTATAAAAGTGGACATAGATTCTGATGTTTTTGTTTCAAATGCATTGATTGATATGTACGGGAAGTGGAACCGTTTTCTTGAAGCTTCCCATGTTTTCGATAAGTTGGATAACCAAAACGTTGTTTCGTGGAATACAATGATTGGCACTTGTGCTCAGAATGGGCTCGGACCGAAAGCACTAGACCTCCTCAGACAAATGCAAGCCCGCGGTCAAATTCCTAATTCCGTCACCATTACTAATGTTCTACCTGCATGTGCCCGATTGGGTTCGATTATTCACGGGAAGGAAATGCACGCGAGATCCATTCGGTCCGGGTCGGTTCTCGATTTGTACGTCTCGAATGCCTTAACAGACATGTACACAAAATGTGGCCGGATGGATCTTGCCCAAACTGTATTTGACATGTCACCAAGAGATGAAGTATCATACAATATACTCATAACAGGCTATGCCCAAACAATGGAATCCCCAAATTCTCTAAAGTTGTTAACCAAAATGGAAGCCCTAGGGTTGAGTCTCGACATTATTTCCTACACGGGGGCCCTGTCTGCCTGTGCCAATATGTCGGCACTGAATGAAGGAAAGCAAATCCATGCTTTTGCAATCAGAAAATTATTTCACGAACGTCTTTTTGTTGCAAACTCGCTAATCGACATGTATATCAAGTGCGGGCATATAGAAATAGCAATTAAAGTGTTCGATAGAATCCCCAAACGGGACACAGCATCTTGGAATACCGTGATTCTAGGTTTTGCGATGCTTGGCAGATTAGACACAGCATTTCACCTTTTTGAAACTATGAAAGACGACAAGAATGTAAGATACGACTCAGTTTCTTACATTGCAGTTCTATCGGCTTGTGGCCATGGAGGATTAGTGGAGAAGGGCAAAAGGTACTTCAACGACATGTTGGCCCGGGGCATAAAGCCCTCTGAAATGCACTACGCTTGCATGGTGGACATTCTCGGGCGTGCGGGCCTTATGGAGGAGGCAGTTGGGCTTATCAATGAGCTGCCCACTGAGCCGGGAGCGAACATATGGGGTGCCCTGCTTGGGGCTAGCCGGGTCCATGGCTGCACGGATTTGGGGTTTTGGGCTGCTGAGAAGCTTTTGGAGATAAAGCCAGATCATTCGGGTTATTATGTGTTGCTGTCGAATATGTATGCGGAGGCCGGGAGATGGGATGAGGCGGATAGGATTCGGAAGTTAATGGGTGTGAGGAAAGTGAGGAAGAATCCCGGGTGCAGTTGGGTTGAGGCAGAGGATGGGGTGCATGGTTTTGTTGCCGGTGGGAGATTTGATCCGTGTTTGTGGCCTGCTGTCTCGGGTTAACAACTTTGCGTGGTGCTTTCGTGTTGGGGGAATATGGCGATTGTTTGCCTCTTTTTTTTTCTTTTCTGTATAAGAAATGAAATATTTGTTAAGATCATGACTGTGACAACATTTTGGTAAAGCCTATGATTAGTCATGTGTGTGTGTTCACTTCTGGTGTCGTTGTGGTTTCATCTGTCAACTCTTATTTGTAAGCTACTCAGCTGCCTGATTCAATCAAACAGAAAAAAGGCTGCTGAAATTGCGAATACATAGGTTTCAAACTGTATCTATTTATTGAAGAAAAAACAGGGGGGGAACAGAAAAGGAAGAACGAGAACACGTACAAATAGTACTATATCCACTAGAAAAATGGATTGAATACTACAAGTTGTGTGCTGATTTTAGGAATTTCGTTGTTACCTTGCTTGTGGCTTATTTGGCGAGCGTAATTTCCTCTGTAAAAATTTCAAAGCGAGAAGTCTAGAGTGGGTTTGGGATTTTGAGATATCTTGATTAAATGAGCTTGATAGTGCTCAATCAGGGGGATTGAGGAATGTCTATCAGAATTTGATTCCTAGTTAGGCGGGGGTACGTGTACTAATGGTTGGTCTATTCCTTGCAATGCGGCAGTTCGTGAGTCCAAAATTTGTTTAGGTGGTTGGTTTCATAGACGTAGTATGTCAGGCAGCCTTCGCTACTTGCGTCGAGGGCTCATTTTCTCCTTTATTAGCGGAAGCTCTGGCGCTCTGTCGTGATCTCCACTTTGCACTGGACTCAGACTTAAAGGTGCAGACGGTGCTATCGGAATCCCTGGAAGTCGTAGGCGGCATTACTATCTCGGAGGATTTGGACCCTCTTTTTGAGGCGTTTACAGATATTAGAGATCTTTTAAGGACTGTAGATTGCAGCTCGTGTTGTCATGTCTATCGAAAGGACAACGTAGAGCCCACAGCTAATTGGGTGATTGCTTCACATTCTTGAAGAACTCTCTTCCAATTTTGTTTTTCTCCATCTTTAATTAGTTTTATGCAATTTTTTTATATTAAAATAAAAGTAAAAATAAAAATAACTACATGTTGTACGAGGCAACTTAATAATAAGCACAATAATTTTGTGTGAGTCAAACCAATTGGTTGGCCAAGTGTGTGAGTCAACCTAAGCATCCCGTCACTACAAGAAAAAGATGAAATTCTAATGGAAATATATTCTAATGGAATCTTAAGGACTATTCCAGTGGATATTCTAATGTTATTATTTTCTTTGGGATTTTCTAATAGATTACAACAAAAATATTCCGTTTGGATAAGGTTTTTCGCTGGAATTTTTGTTGGATTTGATAATTCCAATGATGAAATTTTCTAACAGTTGATATATTAGTGGAAATAAAAATTTCAACGGAAATTACATTTTCTTTTTTTTTTTTTTTGGTACAAAGAAGAATGCTACACGAGCCTAGGTGAGAACCATCCGGGGGTACGACACCCCAACACAATCGTGGTGCAACCAAATGCCTACACCCGGCTGGGGACTTGCCAACATGGAAACCCCTCTCGAGCCTTTACTCGCCAACGAAGCCAAATAATCCGCCACAAAGTTCGACTCCCGATAACCGTGGTTAAGCCCCACCTCCCATTGGCGCCCCATGAGCTCCTTTATTCCATTCAAAAGGTCACTATGTGTCCCAGAATGAAGACCATCACGGACCATGTCAACGATACCACTACAACAAAAACTGCGTTTAGAGACGCTTATTTTTTTATTTAGTGACATTTATTAGTGTCACAAAAAAATTTATCTACACTTGCAAAAGTGTCACCAGTTGTTGTTGTAGCATAAATTGTTATTTTTTACCGAGTACCGAATCGAAAGATTCGTTCCCCGGGTCGATCTCACAAGGAAGCAGTTCGAAATTCAGTTTTGGTATCAATCACGCATAAAAAGAAAATAAATCCTAAACATACTAATCAAATAGGGGATAGAGTAATCACCAACTAAGAAATATCATAAAAACAATAAACTACCTAAATAAAATGCGACCGAAACAAAGATGGAGAAACTAGGGAGTCGGGGATAATTAATTCAAGTTTTTTAGCACAACTGGGAATTTGATCGTTCGGTTCAGAATTGACACTCTCGCCTAAACGTCTAGCGGTTCGCTCCCAATAACTCTTCGTAATAAGGGACTGAATATAGACGAGCAAGTTCGAGCACACAATACATACCAATTATCCAACCCCAATAACATTTCGTAACAAGGGAAAAGACACCGACGAGCATATGTTTCAATCCAGACCTATAGATTATTCATTTATGAAATCATCTACCTCATGCGAGCCTAGGTCTACGACTTTTCCCCTTTCGGTTCTAAAAGTCGCTAATCAAATTAGAAGAGAATTAATTAACTAATCATATAGAATCAACAAACCCTAACTCAACTAATCAACATTCAATTATTTTTAATTGCAAGATCGAAGTGTCACTTTTCGATTATATCAATCAATCAAGCACAAATTCATCAATTCCTAATCAAATTAACTCACACAAGAACGAACAAGTCAAGCCCGACAAATATACGTTAAACAAGAACAATTATCCCTTATCCCTAGCAATAGAAATTAGCTATGTAACATGAATTCAACACATTCAAGCTATTCACCCAAGATAATCATTCACATGAATTAAAGAAGATAAAAAAAACTTACAATTAAAATCCAATCCAAGAGTTGAATCCAATTACAAGCTAAATCTCTAAATAATAAAAAGAAGAAGAAGAAGAAAAATGGAAAACAAAGGTGAAAAGAAGAAGAAAAATGAAGAAGAAGAAGAAGAAGAAGAAGAAGAAGAAGGAAGGAAGGAGAAAGAGGGAGTTTCGTGAGTTTTCTCGGGCTAGGGTTTGTCTCCCAGAAGGGGAGAGAATGAATCCTCGAATCGTTCAAGAAATCTACTTTTAAAACCTGTTTTCGCGACCTCCGCGGCCGCGGTGAAGTAAGCCTCCGCAGCCGCGACTTGCTCCGAGGCCGCGGGATTTTTTCGCTGAAGTTGGGACTTTGGCAGTTTTTTGTTCGCCGCGGCCACGGCGAAGAAACGGGTCGCAGCCGCGGCGAAGAAAACTGGGCTGCACTGCACGACTTTACGATTTTTGCTCGTTCGGGTTCGTTTGAACTCGGAATTGAGTTCCGTTTTTTTCTACGCGTCGCTAACGAACCCCTCTATCTAACTATGCAAACCCATCAAATATTTTCTTAAAAACCTGTCCTCCCAAAGCTTATGACATGCACACCAAAAACGTGATTTGCGCGACTTTGCTGTTTGAGCCCGTTCGGGCTCGTCCGAGCTCGAATTTGAGTTCCACTTCTTCCTATATGTCGCCAACGAACCCATCTTCACAACCATGATTGCCCGATCAATTTTCGGGCTAAATCCATTCCTCACAGGGCTTCCGACCTGCACACCAAAAACAAAAGAAAACCAGAAAAACACACGAGAAACAGAAGAAACACCAAAATAGAGCAAACCACGAAATAAACTACAAAACGAACTAAAAAAAACAACTAAAAGACCTAATATGGGGGTAAAAGAAAGGCAAAATGACAACAAAAAATGCAACAAAAATGAGACAAACAACTCCCCCACACTAAGACATTTATTCGTCCCGAACAAAGAAAAGAAATGAAGACAAACAAATGAGCATGGACACGGTTTCAAACAAGACTAATCTCAAACCAGTCAATCAAGTCGAGAAGAATTCCAATGATCACAATAGCAAACCACAACTATTAACTTGATTACTTCGAAAAACAAAGACTCTCGAGTACGAAAATATATCATATGCCTCACTCAGTCTCTTTCGCAAATATTAGATAGGTACGCCCAAGCTGGTCATCAATCAAATCAATCCTAAATTTGCCTATTATCTAACTTTTACTCTAAAACAATCAAGTTCGTGAAACAATGAATCAAGAGGACTTCTAGGGATGAAATGTAGGCTCTTGGGATCGGTAGGATATATATAGGTTAAGTGGCTCAAATAAAAACAAATTCAACTCAATTCCATCACCCAACCGTGATCATGAACACCACTGATTACCAAACACTAACCGGTTCCTCCCTACTAACCCCAACACCAACACACTACCCAAACAATTATTCAAACATCATTTTTTTTCTTATTTTTTTTTTTGTTTGTAGGATAACCTTTTGGACAATTTATCTAGGTTCAGCCTTCGGGTTTTCCGCCCGAATCTCCTAGACCCGTTTCTCGTACTCATTGCTCGTTTCTACTTACATTAGTGGTCAAACACTTGGAGTAAAATCCATTCGGCCTCCATTTTTCTTTTTTTTTTTCTTTTTTTTTTTCAAAACTCAACAATCACCACCTCTATTTAACAAATCATCAATCCTCAACATCATACGAGGTTATCAAGGAAAAATATCAACAAGGCTCAAAAGGGGTGACTAGTGAGAATTATTTACGGAGAAAAAGAAAAGGGAAAAAATACAAGGAAAGCCTCAATCATTTTCACGTTTCACAAACTCAGTCAATTCATTTCAAAGTAGACTCAAGGCAAATTCTAACTGAATAAATTTCAGACCAACATATCACAAGAAACAAGTATGGCTCAAGCCTCACAAGGTAGATAATGTCAATCAAAACAACCAAGCAATTCATCGAGATATGTCACCAATTCTCATCATCACAACTACTCAACTCAATCGACAGTCATTAACCAATCTTTCCATACACCATAGTCCAAGCTCAAAAAGACAGAACAAAATCCTAAAACTAGACCGATCCACCACATAAGCATGCAAAATCCAAATAGACTCCCCACACTTAGAATGCTTCAACACAAAACATGGAATCAGATAATAGGATCTAGCAGTTTCATATAACAAACCAGCACCAGCAACTACCACATGACTCTAAAGAAAGGAGAGAAGGAGAAAACAAACTAAAATAAAAAGGGAAAAGGGTGTGCAAACCGAAAACACCTCAGGAGAACGAGCATCCACGGACA